GCTGAGCCTGGGGGTGCTGAGCATGGGGGTGCTGAGACTGGGGGTGCTCTGCCTAGAGGTGCTTCGTCTCGTCGAGAGCCACTTTCCCCTCAGGAGCTACGTGAGTGGTTTGCCAGGCGCTGGAGGCGTGCTGCTGGTGCTGGAGGTTCTTCGGCTGCAGAGGGTACTACTGCGGAGCGTCCCGGCGGTGCTCGTACTGTGGGTGCTGGAGCTGCTGGGTCTGAGGGTTCTCCTGGAGCTGGTGCTACTGAGGGTGTTGACGCTGAGACTGCCGCAGGAGGTCCGACTCGCGGTGCTCCAGGTGGTGCTGCTGGAGGTTCTGGAGTTGCTGGAGGTGCTGCTGGAGCGGGTACTCTTGCTGGGGGTACTGGTGCTGTCCCTGCTGTTCCTGGCGTCACCGCGCGGCCCCGGCCGTACTTTTTTCCGCTCCTGCAGCAGGTTCTTGGTCTTACACCTTCTCCTGGTCCTCCTCCCTTAGAGGATCCACAGCCTGTCTCGTCACAGTCACAGCTACAGCCTGCCTCACCTTTGCCTGCTCCTTCTCCCTACGCTAGTCCGACTGGAGGTCTTACTGAGCGTCGTGAGCCTGCGTCTCGTCCTGCGTCGCCTGTTCGTACTGCGCGCGCTAGTGGTCGCGGTTCACGTCAGCGTCCTCCTCCTGTCCCTGGCACGCACCGGATTTCTCTGCGTCCCTCTACTGCTCCTCTGCGTGCCCCTTTGCCTTCTCCTCCTGCTTCCTCTCTTCCTGCTCTTGCCGACCCGGAGTCGGACTCTCTTCGTGCTGCCAGTCCTACTATCACGCGTCTCCTTGCTACTGCTGTCACTGACCCTTCTTTCGAGTCTTCTGCTGCGTCTGCCCTTGTCACTGAGCTCGTCGACTTTGCTACGCGCTGTCGTCTAGACTATGCTGCTAGTCTTGTCGCTGAGTCTGAGTCTGCCCGTCCTCCGTCCGTCGGGGGTGAGTGTGCCCTTGGCACGGACGTCCTTGAGGACAGGCAGGAGGAGTTCCAGTGTCTGGCCGCCGCTTCACCTCATCTCGCGTCTACACTGCTAGCCTCTAAGGGAGACCCGGATGCACTAGACATCCCGACTCCGCGCTCTTACGCGGAGGCGATAGAGGGTCCCTACTCCTCTCAGTGGCAGGCAGCTATGGATGCAGAGATGGCTTCCTGGAAGTCCACAGGCACCTACGTCGACGCTGTTCCCCCTCCAGGGGCGAACATCGTCAGTGGCATGTGGATTTTCAGGGTGAAGCGGCCGCCGGGTTCTCCGCCTGTCTTCAAGGCGCGTTACGTGGCTCGTGGCTTCAGTCAGCGGCAAGGGGTTGACTACTTTCAGACCTTCTCCCCCACCCCGAAGATGACCACTCTTCGGGTACTGCTGCACGTTGCTGCTCACCGTGACTACGAGCTGCACTCTCTCGACTTCAGCACAGCTTTCTTGCAGGGCAGCCTGCACGAGGAGATCTGGCTGCGTCGCCCACCTGGCTTCACTGGGTCTTTCCCTCCTGGTACCCAGTGGAGTCTCTGGCGTCCAGTCTACGATCTCCGCCAGACGCCACGTGAGTGGCACGACACACTGAGGACTACGCTGGCGGCACTTGGGTTTGCTCCTTCTACTTCCGACCCGTCGCTGTTTCTGCGCACCGACACCTCTCTTCCGCAATTCTACATCCTCGTGTACGTCGACGACTTGGTCTTTGCCACAGCTGACACTGCTCGACTCGCCTACGTGAAGTCCGAGCTGCAGAAGAGACACACATGCACTGACCTGGGTGAACTGCGCAGCTACCTTGGCTTGCAGATCAGCCGAGACAGAGCACGCCGCACCATTACCCTGACTCAGTCACACATGGTGCAGCAGGTCCTTCAGCGCTTCGGCTTCACGTACTCCTCGCCTCAGGCCACTCCTCTGCCTACTCGCCACTCTCTCTCAGCTCTGCCTTCGGATGAGTCCGTAGAGTCGAGTGGCCCGTATGCAGAGCTTGTTGGCTGCCTCATGTACCTGATGACCTGCACACGACCTGACCTTGCATACCCTCTTAGCATTCTTGCACGCTATGTTGCTACTGGGAGACTCCGACCAGAGCACATGGCTGCAGCGAAGAGGGTGTTGCGCTATTTGTGCAGTACGTCGGGCATGGGGCTAGTGCTTGGAGGGCGCAGTCCAGTGGTCCTTATTGGGCACGCGGACGCTTCTTGGGCTGACGACCAGGCTACGCAGCGGTCGTCACAGGGTTACACCTTCAGCCTTGGTTCCGGCTCTGTTTCGTGGCGGGCTACCCGCTCGTCTTCTGTTCTCGGCTCCAGTTGTGAGGCTGAGATCTACGCCGGGGCTATGGCTGCACAGGAGTTACGCTGGCTCACCTACCTGTTGACCGACCTTGGAGAGCCGCCTCGTTCTCCTCTAGTCCTGTACGTAGACAACAAGGCCATGCTGGCCTTGTGTCGAGAGCAGCGACTGGAGCACAGGACAAAGCACATTGCTCTCAGCTACTTTCTGTCAGGATATTATCTTATGTTCTACCCTGTAGTGGGGTGCTCTATAGCGAGTACAACCCTTCTAGGGTTTGCTATTTGTATCCCCATTTCTGCTAGTTCAACCCTCCTTCTTTCTTCAAACTTTATCACTTTCTTGCTCGTGAGCTACAGCAGCGTGGACAGTTGCGACTTGCGTACGTGGCCTCTGAGGCCAACACTGCTGATGTCTTCACCAAGGCACTTGCGCCTTGTGATCATCAGCGTTGCTGCACGCAGTTGGGTCCTGTGCCTGTCTTGCCTCACTTGCTCATTTCTTGACCTTGCTTGTACCTCGACCTATATATATACTCTTGCTCTTGCTTGCTTGACTCTTGTATATCTCTATATATGGTCTTGCATGTGAACTGGCCTTGTGGCCCTTGAACTTGTGCTCGGAATGTGTGGTGACTTTGTGATCCACCCTGAGCTTTGCTTTGTTTTGCTTGACTGGTCTTGTGACCCCTTGTTCTCCCCCACTTTGCCTATGGGGGTGTGTCAGAATATTATAGCTTACTTATTTGTGTAGGCTATAGTGGGGTATCCCATAGGGGGTACAACCCAACTAGAGTTTCCTATTTGTACTCACTTCATTCATAGTCATTTCATTCTCGTTCTAACTTTCTCAGCGGGGTGATTCTTATCTGCGCTCAGCTTTCATTTCCTATTCAGCTTCTTCTAATTCCTCTTGCGTAAGCTCCCCTTCGTCGGGTTCAGATGTTCCCCATCCTCCCGTAGTGACCATGCCGCTGGCGTTGGCTCCCCATCCTCCAGTGGCGGATGCCGAGGTTGCGCCTCCTTCCGGTTCGTAGTCATCGTCCCCCCATGCGCCTCGTCGTGTTGACTCTTCATCCTATCCTTCCGCAATGCGCTTTTCGTACAACTTTTGTTTCTTTTCTGCCCTGATCTTGTCACATTCTTCCTTAACGCTCAGCTCCCCCTTTGCGTTAGGATCTTTCCTAGCCGGGTCAATCTCCGTGCGATAGATGTTGCGAGTGTAAGGGCGTGGGCGGCCTTCTTCGTCGAAAGTTCCAATGTTGGCTCTAAGGACGAAGTGAAGTGTGTTGGAACGTGGCGTTGGCCGTTCTTGTGGTGTGAAGACGCGGTTGTTGTCGCCTCATTTGTCGCAGCTGGGTTGGTTTGTCCTTCAGCCGTCAAGTTTGCTTAGCCTCCGGATCCTCCGGCCATTTTGGTCTTGGAGCGTGTGCCGCTCGCTAGATCTTGGTTCGGCGAATTTCACGGAAGTGAAGATGCGAAGAATCCCCGAGTAGCTTTCATACCATGTTACAATCCCAAGTGGGACTTAGCGAAGGATCACTCAGGGTTGATGCAGAGTAGAATTGCAGCGGAAGATTGAATCTCAGGTCAGAGTGAAGGTAAATGACCGAGTTGATAAAATCATGCATACATCGGGTTTATATAAGAATACGAAGGAATACGAAAAGACCTAGGCTAGCCATGTACTCTAAAGGGTGCATTCCCTTATTACAGCAAGTTCAAACCGTACGGCGCGGAGACCCGTTCAAAACCTGTTCCCGCTCTTTTCATTTCAAGTATTTCTGCCTGCATCGGTCTTGGTCAAACGGTTACTGCGTCGCTTCAACTCTTCTGACTCATCGACTTCGTACTCGGTAGAGTCGGCTCCTGTAGCCTACATGAATGCCTTCTCATGTAATTTCATATCCTAACACATCGTATGAATGTGCATCCTTGGGGGTAAATGACCGTTCTATCATCATTTACCTTCCATTACGTCGGAGGGCAAATGGCTGGCTCGGCATGGTTTTACAGGCCGACCAAAGTGTCGTACCAAAAAAACGCAGAGAGGGAAGCTACCTATTTCCCCTCGCCCCCCCTCTGCCAGTGTCCACAGAACGCCACCAGTATAAATAGTACTTTCACTCTAGCTATAATACTTCATTGAATAATGTGATAATCATATAAGGACATGCAAGCCTGAACTAGAAAATATAGTACTAACGTAAGGATTATTTTTTTAGTCGCACTTTAGCGGGTAGAGTTCGTAGGGGTTCGTACCAGCTCGGCCTACAATTTTGGCCCAAACCACCACGAGTCGCCCCGCAATAATCGGTACACTCCCAAGCCTACTTTCCCCGTGCTCCTCACCTAGTTAGGTCTCCCCCCCTATATTATCGTCAGTCTTTTGTTATCACAACAATCTCGATATTCACTCATTCGGCGCACTTAGTTCATTCATAACTTTATTAGTATTCTCAAAATCATGAGCAAACACGGCCTTCCAATTGAGGCTTGCATCTTCTCAGGGCAACAGCCAGGCGACGAACGGGAATTGCCGTCGCGCGTCACAGGGAACCTGCGAGTGTCGTGTGTGACGCCAACCCAGAGCGTCGCGCTGAAACGATTGTGAAGCGCGCCGGCAGCGCAGGCGGCGGACGTTCAGCGCACTCGGCAGAGCAGCAGCGCGCGACTAGCAGCGGCGGACAGCAAGCAGCGCGCGCACTCATGGCGGCCTCTGCCGCATTGTCACTCCCCCTGCCGCCACGCCCTCTCCCCTGCCACGCCCTCATCGGCCGCACTGCCTCCGCCGCCGTCGCATCCGGCAGCAGCGGCGAGGGTTCTGTCGCTCTCGCGGTTCCGCCGCGCGCAGCAGGGCGGGCGCGCAGGGAGACGATGATGGGCGCGCACGTGCATCAGGGGGCGCGGAGGTGGCGCGCCGTGCGAGCGACTATGGGGGGCGCGGAAGGAGGAGGTGGGGAGGGGGACGGGGAAGGAGAGGCGGACGGGAAGAAGGGTGGGGGCGAGGGGCAGCATGGCTGGGAGGCGTGGCAGGTGGCGCAGCGGATGTACGCGGCGGTGAACGCGCGGGACGTGGCGGGCGCAGTGGCGTGCATGGCGGAGCGGTGTGAGTACCAAGATATGATCTACCGCGATGCCCTCCACGGCAAACAGGTGCGCCGCTGCCCCGCCTGCCATGCAAGCTGCCATGCAAGCTGCCATGCAAGCTGCCATGCAAGCAGCCATGCAAGCTGCCATGCAAGCTGCCATGCAAGCTGCCATGCAAGCTGCCATGCAAGCTGCCATGCAAGCTGCCATGCAAGCTGCCATGCAAGCTGCCATGCAAGCTGCCATGCAAGCTGCCATGCAAGCTGCCATGCAAGCTGCCATGCAAGCAGCTATGCAAGCTGCCATGCAAGCTGCAAGGCTCTGGAAGTGTTGTTTGAAACCCTCCAAAACCTCCTGCTCCCCTACCACGTATGCCACCGTCCCATCTCGTCCTGTTTCCGCCTCTCCTCCTCCCCGTGCTCCGCCCCCCCCACCACGGACCACACACCCCACGTGCCCCCTAGGCGGTGGAGCAGCACCTGAGGCGCGTGCTGCACGCCATGCCGCCCGGAGTGGCCTTCATTATTGACGACATCTCCACCGGGGATACCCGTGCCTGCGGGGTGATGTGGCACGCAGGTGGGGTGATGTGGCACGCAGGTGGGGTGATGTGGCACGCAGGTGGGGTGACATGGCACGCAGGTGGGGTGACATGGCACGCAGGTGGGGTGATGTGGCATGCAGGTGGGGTGATGTGGCACGCAGGTGGGGTGATGAGGCTCGCAGGTGGGGTGATGTGGCATGCAGGCAAGCCACACTTTTCATGCCACTCCTCCCCCTCTCCTGTGCAAATCGCCCCCTCTTTTGCCTCCTTTAATTGCCTTCATCCCATCCCCTCCTCCATCCCCTCCTCCCATCCCCTTCCTCCCATTCCTTCCTCCCATTCCCTCCTCCCATTCCCTCCTCCCATCCCCTCCACCCTTCCCCATCGTCTCGTCGTCAGAGGTGGATGGCCGGCCTCTCCCATTCAGCCGCGGCTGTTCCTTCATTCGCTGCCAGCCCGAGAACGGTGCTCTGCGCATTGTGTGAGTGCACTGTGGCATGGACATGGCACATGCACGCATGCACAACGTCACAGTCAATCACTGGCCCACATTAAATCAGCACACGTGCGCGGATTCGAGCATGGCATGTGGATGCAGCATGCAGCATGAATGTCCACATGACCCATGTGCTGGAACGCCCACGCTATGCTCGTTGCCCCTTGGGCCTGTGAGCACCAGTCCTGCTGCTGCATGTTCCATGCGTCTTGCAACCTCTCATCCCGCTGCTCCCGCTGCTCCTCTCATCCCACTCCGCTCCACCTCGCACGGCCCATCCATCCATGCACCCCCAGGTTCGTGAGGGACATCCCCGAGCCGTCCTTCAAGCCAGGCTCGGCTGCCCTTGTGAGTGCCTCTGCTGCCCTTGTGAGTGCCTCTGCTGCCCTTGTGAGTGCCTCTGCTGCCCTTGTGAGTTCCTCTGCTCCATGCTTTTTGTTGCTCTGTCCTCTGCGCGCGTGCGCGCTTGCGTGTGAGTGCGTGTGCGTGCGTGCTTGCGTGCGTGCGTGCGTGCGTGTGTGCGTGCGTGCGTGCGTGCGTGTGTGCATCGCTGCTCTCTCACCACTACATGCGGGACTGCCCGGTATGCGTCTTCCTCTGACTGCGCACCCATCCAAATGATCGTCCGCCCTTACTTCTCACCACATTGCCCAGACCCCTCTCACATCGCTGCACTGTCCTCTCCCGTCACCGCACTCCCCGTGCTCCCTCCCTGCAGTACCTGCTCTCCTGGGCGGTGCAGCTGTTGAAGCTCCTGCCCCCATCCACCAAGTGACATCTTTCCTGCAGCTTATCCATCCCCTCCCCTCTCTTTCCCCCCACCCTTCTGGCCACCAATAATGCACTGGGTCTACAGTACCGTAATCCCCTGGATGTAAGATCTTAGGGTCTTAACACAAAAAATGCGGGGAGTCTAAACATAGTGTCAGAAGTTCATAAGTTCAGGGACTTATGATATTAAATTTGTTTCTTTTAAGAAGTATAAATTGAGGACATGTTATTAGAACGTATTCCTATCCTCGTATCAAGAAAACCTCGTATCAACCTCCCACTAAAAATTCCCCTAAACCCGAAACCTCTCGCAACTATTACCAGGCAAAAAGTACCGTATCCCCCCGGATATACCCCCATGGGGAGCAATAATAAAACAGGTTTTTTCATGGGGGTGGGCTTATAATCGAGTAAATTTATAAGCGCCGGCGTTTATAAAATGACATACATATTTTTTTATATCTTTTAACACCAAACTGTAGGTCTCGTGCTTGCCTTTTCAATCGAGTCGAAGTTACATGGGATCGTCTGTGAAATTCTCGCGCGCGCCGGAAGATACACCCAATCTGACTCACATCCAGCTGCTGACAGGTCCTGCTGACTGGACCCAAATCCAGTGCAGGGTCCGAATGTGAAGGGAACCGAATCTGCAACATATTCGCCTGCTAAAGTAAAAATCGTTACAGCTTTTTGAACACATTTCAAATTTTAAAGTTTACGTGCGCTTATAATAAAACAAGTTTTTTCAACGGGTGCGCTTGAGAAAGTGTGAACGAGAATGATGGAACTATGAAATGAAGTGAGTACAAATGTGAAACCCTAATTGGGTTGTACCCCCTATGGGATACCCCACTATAGCCTACAGAAACAAGTAAGCTATATGTTCTGACACACCCCCATAGGCAAAGTGGGGGAGAACAAGGGGTCACAAGACCAGTCAAGCAAAGCAAAGAAAAGCTCAGGGTGGATCACAAAGTCACCACGCATTCCGAGCACAAGTTCAAAGGCAAGAAGGCCAGTTCACATGCAAGATCATATATAGAGATATACAAGAGTCAAGCAAGCAAGAGCAAGAGTATATATAGGCGAAGGTACAAGCAAGGTCAAGAGGAGAGCAAGTGAGGCAAGATAGACACAAGACCTAACTGCGTGCAACAACGCTGATGATCACAAGGCGCAAGTGCCTTGGTGAAGACATCAGCAGTGTTGGCCTCAGAGGCCACGTACGCAAGTCGCAACTGTCCACGCTGCTGTAGCTCACGAGCAAGAAAGCAGCGGAGAGCAATGTGCTTCGTTCTGTGCTCCAGTCGCTGCTCTCGACAGAAGGCCAGCATGGCCTTGTTGTCTACGTACAGGACTGGAGGAGAACGAGGCTGCTCTCCAAGGTCGGTCAGCAGGTAGGTGAGCCAGCGTAACTCCTGTGCAGCCATAGCCCCAGCGTAGATCTCAGCCTCACAACTGGAGCCGAGAACAGAAGACGGGCGGGTAGCCCGCCACGAGACAGAGCCGGAACCAAGGCTGAAGGTGTAACCCTGTGACGACCGCTGCGTAGCCTGGTCGTCAGCCCAAGAAGCGTCTGCGTGCCCAGTGAGGACCACTGGACTGCGCCCTCCAAGCACTAGCCCCATGCCCGACGTACTGCACAAGTAGCGCAACACCCTCTTCGCTGCAGCCATGTACTCTGGTCGGTGTCTCCCAGGAGCAACAAAGCGTGCGAGAATGCTAAGAGGGTATGCGAGGTCAGGTCGTGTGCAAGTCATCAGGTACATGAGGCAGCCAACAAGCTCTGCAAACGGGCCACTCGACTCTACGGACTCATCCGAAGGCAGAGCTGAGAGCGAGTGGCGAGTAGGCAGAGGAGTGGCCTGAGGCGAGGAGTATGTGAAGCCGAAGCGCTGAAGGACCTGCTGCACCATGTGTGACTGAGTCAGGGTAATGGTGCGGCGTGCTCTGTCCCGGGTGATCTGCAAGCTAAGGTAGCTGCGCAGTTCACCCAGGTCAGTGCACGTGTGTCTCTTCTGCAGCTCGGACTTCACGTAGGCGAGTCCAGCAGTGTCAGCTGTGGCAAAGACCAAGTCGTCGACGTACACGAGGATGTAGAACGGGGGCAGAGAGGTGTCGGTGCGCAGAAACAGCGACGGGTCGGCAGTAGAAGGAGCAAACCCAAGTGCCGCGAGCGTAGTCCTCAGTGTGTCGTGCCACTCACGTGGCGCCTGGCGGAGACCGTAGACTGGACGCCGAAGACTCCACTGGGTGCCAGGAGGGAAAGACCCAGTGAAGCCAGGTGGGCGACGCAGCCAGATCTCCTCGTGCAGGCTGCCCTGCAAGAAAGCTGTGCTGAAGTCGAGAGAGTGCAGCTCGTAGTCACGGTGAGCAGCAACGTGCAGCAGAACCCGAAGAGTGGTCATCTTCGGGGTGGGGGAGAAGGTCTGAAAGTAGTCCACCCCCTGCCGCTGACTGAAGCCACGAGCCACGTAACGCGCCTTGAAGACAGGCGGAGAACCCGGCGGCCGCTTCACCCTGAAAATCCACATGCCACTGACGATGTTCGCCCCAGGAGGGGGAACAGCGTCAACGTAGGTGCCTGTGGACTTCCAGGAAGCCATCTCTGCATCCATAGCTGCCTGCCACTGAGAGGAGTAGGGACCCTCTATCGCCTCCGCGTAAGAGCGCGAAGTCGGGATGTCTGGTGCATCCGGGTCTCCCTCAGGGGCTAGCAGTACAGACGCGAGACGAGGTGAAGCGGCGGCCAGACACTGGAACTCCTCCTGCCTGTCCTCAAGGACGTCCGTGCCAAGGGCACACTCACCCCCGACGGACGGAGGACAGGCGGACTCGGACTCAGTGACAAGACAAGCAGCGTAGTCTAGACGACAGCGCGCAGCAAAGTTGACAAGCTCAGTGACAAGGGCAGACGCAGCAGACGACTCGAAGGAAGGGTCAGTGACAGCAGTAGCAAGGAGACGCGTGACAGTAGGACTGGCAGCATGAAGAGAGTCCGACTCCGAGTCGGCAAGAGCAGGTAGAGAGGAAGCAGGAGGAGAAGGCAAAGGGGCACGCAGAGGAGCAGTGGACGGACGCAGTGACATCCGGTGCGTGCCAGAGACAGGAGGAGGACGCTGACGCGACCCGCGACCACTAGCGCGCTCAGTACGAACAGGCGACACAGGACGAGATGCAGGCTCACGACGCTCAGTAAGACCTCCAGTCGGACCAGCGTAGGGAGAAGGAGCAGGCAAAGGGGAGGCAGGCTGTAGCTGTGGCTGTGACAGGACAGGCTGCGGACCCTCTAAGGGAGGAGGAGGAGGTGTAAGACCAAGAACCTGCTGCAGGAGCGGAACGAAGTACGGTCGGGGCCGCGCGGCGACGCTAGAAACAGCAGGACCAGCACCAGCAGCCCCGGCAGGAGTACCCACTCCAGCAGCACCTCCAGCAGCACCACCAGAAGCACTGTCAGTCGGACCGCCAACGGCAGGCTCAGCGCCAACACCCTCAGCAGTACCAGCTCCAGGAGAACTCTCAGACTCAGCAGCTCCGGCACCCACAGTACGAGCACCGGCGGAACGCGCGGCAGCAGTACCCTCTGCAGCCGAAGAACCACCAGCACCAGCAGCACGCCTCCAGCGCCTGGCAAACCACTCACGCAGCTCTTGTGGGGAGAGTGGCTCCCGGCGAGACGAAGCACACCCAGGCACAGCACCCCCAGACTCAGCACCCCCAGACTCAGCACCCCCAGGCTCGGCACCTCCAGGCTCAGCACCCCCAGGCGCAGCACCCCCAGGCTCAGCACCCCTAGGCACAGCACCCCCAGGCACAGCACCCCCAGGCTCAGCACCCCCAGGCTCAGCACCCCCAGGCTCAGCACCCCCAGGCTCAGCACCCCCAGGCTCAGCACCCCCAGACTCCGCACCCCCAGGCTCAGCTCCCGCAGCAGCACCAGAGTCACCAGTGACCTCGACAGGCTCGACCGCGTCTACCTGGGACACACCTGAAGGGGCAGGACCCTGAGGGGGGAGGGGGACTACCGGGGGGGGGCCTGGTACCAAGAAGAGCGGGGGTGGGGGGAGGGACGGAGTGCGGTAGGGGAAGAGGCGGTAGTAGGGTACCGACTGGTCGAACGTGACGTCCTGGGAGGACAGAACACGTCGAGAGGTGGGGTGGTAAAACTGCCACCCAGGGGCGTCGGGGGGGAACCCCAGGAAGACGCAGGGAGAAGCACGAGGGGACAGCTTGTCCGCAGACAGGTCGCGAACAAACGCCCGAGATCCCCAGACCCGGAACGCCGACGCATCGCCAACCTTCCCCGTCCACAGCAGGGCTGGGGAGGTCTCCAATCGAGAGACCCTGGGGTGGAGGTTGATCTGGTGCGCAGCGTATCTGACCGCAAACGGCCACAGAAAATGGGGAGCAGCCGCATGCATCATGGACGTACGGGCGACGTCCATGACCATGCCAATGCGGCGCTCAGCAATCCCATTCTGCTGTGGTGAGTCCGGAAGCGTGAAGGTCTGACGGATGCCTCGCGCACGACAGTAGGCACTCAGGAGGCCAGAGGAGAACTCTCCGCCTCTGTCCGA